GTATTCAGTGATTGAGGAGTCTTGATGACATGGCGGAAAATCGGTGATAGTGACATAGATATACTCACTCCTTGACATCTAAAACTGGAATATTTTCACTAACCATGATGTTCAAAGTGTTTATTCTCTCACCCAACATTATTCACATTGATGTCCTTTGTGCACTACTGTGAATTGTGGTAACTTGAGGTTATTCACCGATGTATGAGGTTATACGTTGATTTTGTCGGTCAGTCAGTCAATCATTTAGTCACGGTATAATCACTGTGTGACTAATACAAAAGTCAGACAAAGGTTGTGAAGCTTCGGAGACTTAGGTGGCTTAGACATATTCTATGCTTACCGACTCATTGTCACCCACTTCGACGTGGTATGGTTACAAGTTGTATTAGGTTGGAAGATGAATTCTCAGGGTGGTTAAACCAACACGTGATGCCAATCCATGAAGTGTCCGACTCGTGTAGGGAGATACAAGCTGTCTGCCTAAGGTCCCTGAGAACATATGAACCAAACGTCCAGCACGTTTGCTGTCATTGTAGAGAATAGGTCACAACGGAACTTCCAAGACTTTTACGTACCTTCAACTTTTCAGCATTCTCTCTCTTGTCTTCTCATCCACTTGTTCTTTCCATGCTACTATGAAATGTGACAACTTGAAGTCATACACTTCTGTGTGAGGTTTCACGTTGATTTCGTCCGTCTGTCTGTCTCTCTCTCCCATTTTAAAAATATGCAACAGTTGGATAATCAAACTGTTTAGATTACTCGCCACCTGTTTACACAATCACTGAACAAGTCAGACGTGAGAACGATTACTCAGTGACGGCATTGGTGAGAGTCTCACTATATCACGAACTGACAGAAGTAAGAAGAGACGAGTCCAGTGGCTAAATGGCAACACTCTCGTTGCGGAACCTAGAAGTGCAGGGTTCGATTCCTGACACTGTAGCGTCTTGGGTGTGTACATGTGAACAGCTCCTGCACACTATTCTCAGATTTCTTATCGGTCCTCAACTGATATCAGCGTCAATGATGAATAAATCAACTTGAAATTTTCAAGAAATTGAAATGAGTAAGCCTCATACATAGTAACTGTATTATGAAAACAGAACGAGAACAGATGAAGGAGGCGATAAGAGCTCAGTATTCTGTAGCTTTAAATCTCTGAGAAAAGGAAAACAAGTTGAGAATCCCCTCAGCAACCTTGTGCATATTCGCACCAATAGCTGATGAGCCACATATCCAGTGTATATGAAGGCTGTTCTTGCCGACATGGTAGTAGCGGTAACGTACTAACTCACTCTTTGAAGTCTTATGAAGCTTGAATATTCTCAATAACCTCCATTCTAGATTGTTCATTCTCCTATTCAACTTTGTTTACTTTGATATGAATCTTTTTCTATCCACTATTATTTGTGTAGTAAACTGTAATGTGTGGCAATTTGAGCAGATGCATCTGTGTGCGAAGAGGTTCCACGTTGATTTTGTCAGTGTCAGTAAGTCTGAGTATAATATGGCATTAAGGAATTAGAATACTTGTGGGGAACACATGAATCAAATATGATGCTGACCATTTGATAGTGTTTATACCTGTTCATACCTAGAGAGAGTGGGCACCACTGACGGACACCATTTGACGAGTACAGCTCCTTGCATATCTCACCATAGGCTCTAACACTCCCACAAGTGTTCTTGTAGAGAGCCTTCAATGAGATGATGTACTTACTCGGCACGCCTTTCAGTGAGAGACATTACCTTAAGACTTCTCAATCAACGGAATCGAATGCCACCTTTTAGTCGAGAAATACAACTAGAGTCAGGTGTCCGTAAGCGTGTCTGTGTTCCAGAGCCTGGCGCAGTTGAATATTTGGTCGATACACCCGCGACCGGGTCTAAAGCCTGCCTGGTTTTCTCGAGCTTGCTGCTTCCGAGCTCCACTCAGGCATCGGAGAATTATAGAACCTAGGATCTTGGACACCATGTTAGTCAAGCTGATTCCTCTGTGGTTATTACAAGAGGACTTCTCGCCTTTCTTGAAAACTGATTGTTATTGTGCATTAGATACTGTTATAAGTGTGAATTATATCGAACCTCCCCTTGACGTCGCATATCTTATCAATCTCCAAAAGAATTTTCCATCCAACTTAAGAAGGTAAAAGTATTTGGTATAACTCAACCTCTTCTCTTCTGCTTATAAACTCTTTTATATCATGTGAACATCTGATAGGAGTTTTTCTTATCAGGTGACCAACATCCTCTTCACTCAAAGCTCTAGATATGTTTCGGTCTTCGATGGATGACTAGGAGAAAGTATATGAAAATTTATGAATATAATACTAAATACAAGAAATCTACTATACCTTTCTTATTTAGTTCGTTTCCTCTGTAAGGAAGAAAGTATTAGAAATGAACTAACATTGATCAAGTTTTGAATCAAATTATCGGTGTAACCATTCATCAAAGTTGACTTTACACCTTCAAGAAATTGTTATTTTTGCTTATTTCATTTTATTGTGTCTACACATAGACTGTTTCTGTCCAAATTGATGCTCCAGGATATACTAAATATTCTGTACAGTATCCCCAAAATATGTTTCAGAATGAAGTTATTATATTATTTATTATTTTCCCTTCGGTTCCTAGTGGAACATACAGTTGCAGTAGCACGTCTCCATTCCACGCTGTTCTCTACAGTCTTTTGAACCTCATTCCACAAGCTTTCATTTCTTCCTCACACGAGATCTCCTCCATGTCACCCTCGCCTCAGACGCCCAACTCGTCGTTTACCCTTTGGATCCCACTCCACAGCCTGGTCTGGCACGTGATGTCCTCAATCCCCCTTCTCAGTGTATGCCAAATCCATCTCCACTTTGTCCCTCTGCATATTTATTGGGTGGTAGGTTGTTGGTTGGTTCATTGCCAAATAACCAGTGTTTCTCCTTGCTTATTCTCTCTCGCCATCTCATCTCATCTTCAGTATCGAGTGGATGTAAGCGGCAGCTGTTGATGAATGTCTGTAGTTTGTTGGAAATGCTTTTCGTGAGGCATCAACTTTCTCAACTATATAGAAGCACTGACTTCACTGGATTGGTGTTGAAAATCCTGATGTTGTTCTTTGTGCCGAGTGCAATATATCTCCACACTGACTCCAGGTTAATAAAAGCCTGTCTTACTGTGTTTCCGATCCTGGTTTTGACATCCTCGTCTGTGCCTGTACCGCCGCCAGTAGTTGAAACGATGCTGCCAATGTGGGTAGGTGAACAAGACTACTTCCTTTAGGTTTCTCCTGTTCATGGTGATTGGTGCTTGTTGTTGATGCTGTTGTTGGTTGGGTATCTTCATCACCTCCGTTTTCTCTAAGTTCATTTGAAGTCGCTACTTCCCTGCCCTACCTCTTGTGTCAGCTTGTTGGTTTTTGCTTGTAGATCTTCGAGTTTGTGCGACATCAGACATAAATCATCATTGGTGAAATCCAAATGTTGCAGGCTCTTTCCATCGGTCCAGCCAGCATATGCCCATCTTCTCGCTCCTCACAGTTATTTATTGCATGATCCAGTCCACTACAATCAAGAAGATCATTGGTGATGGTAGGTAGCTTTGTCTAACTCCTTCCTGTCTTCACTTCACTTCCATTGTGGATCATTTGGCATGTGGTGTCTTCATATAGCTTAGCTGTTGAATGAGGTTGATAAATATTTGTGGCACTAAAACCGTAGTGTTGAAGCAACCGCTTGCCAAATTACTTGTCGGTCGACGCTGTCGAAAGCCTTTTCCAGGTCGATGAAGTTGAGGTAAGAGTAGACTCCCATTCTATACTCTGTTCTATGATGATGGGTAGTGTAGCGTTGCAATTTGACACGCACATGATTTGTTCTTCCTGAAGCCAGCCAGCCAGCCTGTTCCGGTTGTAATCTGAATCCAGTGCATGATTTAGTCTCTCCAGGATGATGCTGCTTAATATTTTGTTTGGGGTGGACAGTTGCGTGATTTCACGTCAGTCCTTGGAAAGGCTTAGGTCTTTCTTTTTTGGGAATTTGACGAGGTAGCCGTTCTTCCAATCTGCAGGTACCTTTCTTTTCCTGCAAATCTTGTGTAGTAGTGATGTGAGCATGTACGCTGTTGTCTCTGCGTCTATTTCAGTGCTTCTGGTGGAATTCCATCTGGTGCTGCTGCTTTCTCGAATTTCAGCAAGTTTATGATATTCAAGACTTCTCCTTTTGTGGGAGGGCATGTGTTCACTGGTAATTCTGCCGTTGCTGGTGGTATTTCTGGACCAGTTGCAGGTGATGGTGGTGGTCTATTGAAGAGTTTGTTGTAGTGGTCAACCCATCGTTTCCTTTGTTTCTCCTCTTCGGTAACTAGCTTTCGCTCACTATCTTTCATTGGTTTCGTCTGAGTGGATCTCAGAATGAACTTGCTTTTATCACTATTATTATTATGATCCACATGGTTACGGTGTGGAACGGATTGATGTGGTGTCAATGACGTCTAGATTGTTAATATGGGATAGTTTCTACTAGCTTCTAGGTGGTTGCAGGCAGTTGGTATACAGTTCTAGACTGAACAAGATCTCTTGCTTGTTAACACTCATCGCCAAGGCACGTCTACAACCTTAAGGGCATCACTTCAGAGATTCGAATTCGTATCATCTGGATACTACAGTTATCGATGTTACTAACAAGGTATTCGAGCCATTTGAGGCAGCATATATACGCCTCGTTGATGGCGGAGAGTTTTTTCCCACCAACTGCCTCCAGCTAACTTATATCTGTTCAAGTGCATTTAAAATAGTCAATCGTTTAGCTTTCTGTTATCATATTACAAAATGATCGGTTGAATATGATCATCTCTTATAAGTGCTTTTCCCATCCACAACCTTTCTTTCGATTGCTAATGATTAGTTAATGAATATAGGTGCGAAGATAGGTGACAAGATTGTTATCATCTCATGTATATCCTTTTATCTTTTCTAAAATCAAATTTTTTTTTTCTTCTTCTAGGTGTTGAACGACTTATAGATTGTGTTGAACAACGTCCTGCAGATTATGATTGTCCAATTTATTTTGTCAGAGATGATTATTTAGCACGTAAAGTAAGTTAGATATACTTTTTATAACTGCGCATACTGGAATGCTTCCTCTCTCTGTCTTTCTCCGTTGATTGTTTGAAGTAAAACTTGAAGATTTCTTCAGATGTATGCAGCTGGATTCCAGTAGATGAGACTCGACAACCATCTTACAAGTACCAACAGATGACAATTGTCTTATTGTGTTTTGGTCACATCTGCTAAGATTCTCAATAAGGCTGGCTAGGAACAGACTGACATTTAACCCAAAAAATTGACTTGAGAATAAACTTTGTAGGTTGAAGGATCCTACTGATTCAATTCAGCAGAATAGCTCAGTTGACAAGATCCCTTGGAGCGATTACGAGGTCAAATTAGTCGACCATGGTCAATTAGGCTATCCGAGAATAGGATCAATGGATCTTAATGTGATAAGAAATTTAGAGATAAGTTCACTCACAACTATGCATACAATTACACACAACCACACGATAAGATAGTATAGGGCGAAAATCCTTAAAGCTAACATAACAAGGTGAAGGTACTCATCAGCAAGGTGATTCTGTAACCGTGATCAAACTGCTGTTCTATTAATGATTCTAAGCTGGATTACTCAGTGGGAGAGGCAGTCAGAAATTGTATCACTGAGCTATTCAACTCACAACTGATCCTGTGTAAAAATCAATTATGTGTATGATTTTGGTCACCAATGATTAATCGATATGACTATCTACTCCTTAATGGTCAGCACAATCGATGTCACCTGCGCAATCAAGATAAGGCGTGAATGAGGATTAAAGTTGACATGGAACATAGGGCTTCAGTAGCACGTCGGCAGACGTCGTCACTCTCTTCTCTGCAGTAATTTCAACCTGGCTCCACGACTGCCCACAACCTTTCATTTCTTCCCCACACCATCTCTTACATGTCACACTCGGACGCCCAACTCATCGTGTTCCATGTAGGTTCCACTCGATGACTTGACCTGGTGCGTGATGTCCACAATCAGTCTTCTCAGTCTACGTCCAATCCAATCCATCTCCAATTTCTTTTAATGCATATTTGTTGGCTGATAGCTTCTTCGTCGGTTGGTTCGTTGCCAGCCAACCAGCCAGCTATCCGATCAGCATGTTCAATATCGAGTGAGCGTAGATGGCAACTGTTGATGATGTATGTGTGTAGTTTGTTGGAAATGCTTTTCGTAAGGTTCCAAGTTTCTGAACCATATAGCAGCACTGACCTGACTGGATTGGTGTAGAAAATCGGAATGTTGTTCACGCTTTATACTGAGTGTAGTGGATGTGCAGTACAGTGCAGTGCAGTGGAATGGAGTGCAGTAGGTCTCTACACTGATTATTTCAGACTAATGAAGGGTGGCACTGCTTTGGTTTTCCGATCCTGGCTTTGACATCTTCACCTATTCTGCCTGTATTTGAAATAATACCTCTGAAGTTGTAAACCTTCATCGACTAAGGCGACTTGAAAATGTATTGTGGATCTTTAACCACCGATTATTTTGACATATAATGCTAAGGGAAGTTTGATTAAATTAGAAGAAAACTCAGGGTGGTTAGAGTAAGACGTGGAATCAGTTAATGAAGTTCTTTTTTATTGGTGTGAGGCATGCAGTGAAGTCTAGACTGACTGGCTATGGTACTTGAGACGATAGGAATCATTGGTTGATGACATGGATAAATATTGGTAACAATCTTACACATAGATTCAGTCTTCGATGTCTTCTACAGCTCCGAATTTTCTACTCTGCTATCAGTTTTCTCTCTTTTCACTTGTTATTTATATTTTAATGTGAGTAGTGTGGCAAGCCGAAGAGATACACTTGTATCCAAGATTCTCCTTTGGCTTTATCTATTTGTCTAACTGTAAGAGTCAATATTGGTGGATAACGTCGCCTGGTTAACTCGTTCACTAGTTACTTGCCGGTCCTAAACCCAGGTTAAGGACGGAAGGTTAGGCGTAGGGCTAGCAACCCTACGCCGTATAACAAAATCCAACCACTAAAGAAACTTCAAAGCACAAACAAAATATAAAAAGTAAAAATAAACTTATTCCTCACTGGAATCGGAGAGACGAAATGATGCCGGTTGGTGAAAGCCTTCAAGAAGCCAACTGGCGGATGTGTCTTCTCTCGATGAAAGTGAAAGTAAAAATGGGGACATGGAATGTCCGCACCATGTTCGAACCTATCAAGTCTGGGCAGTTGCAAAGGAGATGAGAAGGTATAGTATAGAAGTGGTAGGAATCTGCGAAAGCAGGTAGAATGGAAGTGGACTCTCCAATCTGTGAACTGGAGAGTCAATAATCTACTCCGGTCACCCAGACAACAATCATGAGCACATGGACTGAGTGACTATCATGATGTCCTTAAGAACATAGCAGGCTCTTATGCACGGGGAACCAATCTCTTCCAGGATCATGGCAGCAAGGTTCAACTCAAAAGGAAGGAAAGTTACAACAGTTCAATGCTACGCGCCTACAAATAATGCAGATGAAGAGCCGAAGGAGGAACTCTACAGACAACTGCAGTAAGCACTGGACAAGGCCTCAGTTGGCGACATCAATATTCTAATAGGTGGGGTCACATGAATGCCAAACTGGGAAGGGACAACACAGGAAGAGAACTCATCATGGGTCGAGAAGCACTCGGCGACATGAACGAGAATGGAGAATTGTTTGCAGAATTCTGTGCATTCCCCGATTTGGTGATTGAAGGCACTGTGTTCAAGCACAAGGATATCGACAAAGCGACATGGATTTCACCAGATGGACACACTACAAGAGGAGCAGATATAGGTCCAGACTACAGTCTAGTGCAAGGAACCTTTCAAATCAAGTTGAAAGCCTTCAAGGAAGCTGGTGGTAGATTACAGTTCTAGTTCAGAACAGAAATTGAAGAACGAAACTGCAAGGGAAATCTTCACGTCAGTTATCAAGACAAAATGGGGGGATATCGAGCAACATCCCTGAAGAAACCGGTGTGAATGAGCACTGGAACTCTTTGAAAGGTATGTGGAAAGAAACCTGCATAACCGTATTAGGAAGGAAGAAGAAAGAAGACAAGGAATGGATCTCAATGGACACATGGAAGCCGATAGAGCATCGAGAGGGGGATGGTGAAGCAGAAGATGAATCAGTGCAAGGATGAACAACGAGGAGAGGAACTGAGTAAAATGTATAAAACACTGGACAAAGAAGTGAAGAAGAGTGTGCGGAAAGGCAAAAGACACTTCCACGACACACTGGCGAGTGAAGTAGAACAGACTGCTAGTTGGAGGGACCTACAACATTTTATCAAATAACCAGGTTACTATCTGGCAGGGAAGAGTTCAACACACGTGAAACCAAAAAAAGATGATGAAGGGAAATTAATTATTAAAGAAGAGAAACAAAGGAAACGACGGCCTGACCACTTCGAAAAGCTTGAATCGACCACCGCCTGCACTTCGTCCAGAAATATCATTTGCAGCACAGAAATGCGGGAAAGCGGCAGGACTAGATGGTGTTCCACCAGAAGCACTGAAAACAGACGCAGAGACAACAACGGATATGCTCACACCACTATTGCAGAAGGTCTAGAAGGAACGGAAGGTTCCTTCAGATTGGAAAAACTGCTACCTTGTCAGACTCCCGAAGAAGGAAGACTTAGTTGTTTGCAGGAACTGGTGCGGAATCATGCTACTCTCCAGCTCAAGCAAAATATTAAGCTGCATCATCCTGCAGGGACTAAGGGATGCGCTGGATTCAAAACTACGACTGGAACAGGCTGGCTTCATGAAGTACAAATCATGTGCGGATCAAACTGCAACGCTGCACTACGCAATTTCACGGAACACGGCATAGAATGGGAGTCTACTCTCTATCTCAACTTCATCGACCTCGAAAAGGCTTTTGACAGCGTCGACCGACAAGTAATTTGGCAAGCGGTTGCTTCAACACTACGGTTTTAGTGTCACAAATCTTTATCAACCTATTCAACAGCAGCTATATGAAGACGCCATATACCAAGTAATTCACAATCGGAAGCTCAGTGATGTTTTTGAAGTGAAGACAGGAAGGAGTAAGACAAGGCTGTCTACTATCACCCATGATGTTCTTGATTGTGGTGGACTGGATCATGTAACAAACAGTGAGGGGCGAGAAGAGGGGGTACACTGGACCGCAGAAAAGAACCTAGAAGATTTGGATTTCTCCGACGACTTATGTCTAATATCATACAAACTTGAAGATCTACAGGCGAGAACTAACGAGGCATTCGAGTGGAACCCAGATGGGAAACGCTGAGTTGGGCGTTCGAGGTGAGGGTGACATGGAGGAGATCTCGTGTGAGGAAGAAATTAGAGCTTGTGGGCTGTCGTGGAGGCAGGTTGGAAAGATTGCAGAGAACTGCAGAGTGAAATGAGATGTGCTACTGAAGCTCTATGTTCCAATACGAACTGAAGGAACAAATTAATAATAATAATGCCAATATGTCCATAAAATTCCGGTATCAGGGATTGAATTATAGTATGAACCCTACAAGACATGGTAAACCTTCATACGTTGGTAAATGAACACTCATCTGGAGTTTCAAGTTGACATGAAAAAGTCGACTGCATATGCATGCGCACACACACATACAACTCTACAGTTCTACACTCTATCCCTTCGACTGTATCGCAAGATATTCGATAGAAAAGAAGTAGAAATTAGTCTAGTTGACGGCTTACGTAGAATCGAGGATGTACGTTTTTTCGTCTCTGTGACTTGTCAGCTGAATGGACGCGTACATCAGTAAGTGATGGTAATTCCCACGGGGATTCGGTCCCAGTACCCATCTCTTCAAACATCAGAATCTTATCTATGAGGTGACTGACACACAAGAGTTTATTGTTCATCATTCAATAGAGAATCCTTTACTTTTTATCATGTGACTTACTTGAGAACACATGTAATATGAGCATTGCTAATCAGTAGTCAACTCGCGAATTATATACCTATTTTTCAAGCCATTCACTCATTTAGTTCGCTTCAATATCCTTCTCTAAGGATCAGTCATAAAGCTGCTATGATTTCTGATATCATATTAGCCTGTGTTAAGGAAGTCTGATCCGCTGACTTCATGTGATACAGGGTGTTTCCATAGAACTAAGAAAATGAAAGCCGCTGTCTTACTTCGTCCATCGTACTTGGTTACATGAAGGATTCACCTAGACAATTTCAGTTGTTAGGATCCAATGTGAGCAGGGTTCCAGGTATAGTTTCGGCGCAATGGAGATCGTTATTCATTATTCAGTGTCTGTAGTTCGGATATATGATATATATGTTATCCTCTTGCCTTTCACACTGCTCATTATTCATATGTACTGAGACTAGTTGGAAAGTGGGGAGGGGTGACCAGTGTGTCGAGTATATCGTTGTGTTCGGTTAGCATATGTAGACACAGAGAAGAGGTAATTCAGCGAAGAAAATTTTCTTTTTCGACGATATCATCTTCTAAAGTTGTACAATCGTATTTATATATATCATAAACATATAACAGTCCATTATAAAACAATAGGGTATAATTACATCACTAACCAAGTGCTACTAAAAACCGGAATCAAGAATGCAAAGTAGTTGCATAATAATCTAAGACGGTAGAAATATCGAGGAAGGCAAGGGTTTGACAAGGTGAAAATTGTTGGTAGATAAGAAACGCAAATATTGAGTGTCCACTTGAAAGATAGGTGTAAAGAAGGTGAAGAATGAGATAAGGGTCATAATGAAGGTGATAATAATAAACTAATTAATTATAATGAAATCGAAAACGATTGTGATAGTGTTAAGACCATGGTAATATAAGAGATTGAACATATTTGACGCAGAGATCAGGCTTGGATTGATGAATTGCCAGTGTCTCTGCTGTGCACAACTGTCGAAGGCGTACTCTTTTTGAACTATTGCATCTGACACGATAAATGACACTGAAAGAGGATTCTGGTCAAGCTTTGTGTCCAGAGTTGACCAAGTGTTCAAGAATTGAACTGTTAATTGATTTACTTTCTCCCTTCGACATTCATGCAGGATAGTGCTACGAGATACATTTGGAAAGCGTGCGCTTTGTGCGGCCTATATAACTAGCTCCACAGGAGCAAGTAAATTTGTAGACACATATCGAGGTGGCTCAAAGTGGAAACTTGTCCTTAAAGCACTCCGGAATGTGTTGTTGACTACAGAAACTGATCTGCAGTTTTGCAGAGAAGAATCTCTGCTGCCGTATCGCCTTTGAAAACAACGTTTATAAACAAGGTCTTCTTAGGAACTGTAAGTACTCTCTCCGTATTCTGATTTACTTTCAAGTTCTTATCGATAAATCTGGATGGATATCCATTTTGTATGAGAATCTTCCGTAGTTTGTCTAATTCTTCGTCAATAGTATCATTGGTGCAGATTCTTTTGATTTTTGAAGATAAAGAATGGATTAGATTCCGCTTTCTGCCGAGAGTCATCCAACTGTGGAAATTCAAATATTGTCCATTCAAAGTAGGCTTCCTATAAATTGATCGCTGAAGAGAACCATCTAGTCTCCGTTTCAATAAAACATCGAGAAAATGGAATTCCGAGTTCTTTTCAAATTCTGATGTGAAGCTGATCGATGGTTGACAATCATTGAACGTTTTAACTACAGCCTCAATGTCTGTATTTTGATCGATTATGATGAAAGTGTCATGCATATATCTTTTATATATGTAGAAACTATCAATTGATGAATGCAGCACAACATTCTCTAGCTTCACCACAATGCAGTCAGCTAGCAATGTAGACACCTCAAGACTCTCTACACAAGGTCTGAGCGATTTCATTGGCTGAGAATCGAAGTTATTGGTAACCATACTGCAGCTTTCTTATTCCCTGTCTTATCGAAAAGTCAAACAGAAGTCAGTGAATGTCTTTTTTTGAGATTGTTTGCTGACTGACGAAACCCTTTTCTTCTCTTCATTTCATTTTGTTGTATCATGTGCTTTGTTGGTGATATTATACCATTGAACCATCACCTACCTCGATGCATACTGCTAGCACAGGTCGGATTAGATGGGATGAGGGTTCAGGGTGGTCCCTATCAAGATGTGATACCAGTCGATAAAGTTCCTAGTTGATGAGGGGAGCTATAAACAACTACCTGACTAAGGTTTTCTTATTTTTCGGTCTGTTGAACTTACAAACACCTCAAATTGGCTGCTGTCATGATAATGACAGTTATTTTGAAGGATATTCAAAAAAAAAAGGACGACGGTTATGTAGTTGTCTCAAGAATCGCAAGCATCTATTGTATAACAGTTACCGTAAACCTAGGTGGACGCAGTTTTACTTCGAACCCGTTACCTATTGGTTAAGAGTCAACTTCATAGACCAATAAATCACTGCCTTGTAAGATTCATGATATATATGTCATCAAATTCATCACCGTAATATATTTTCTATCTTATTCTTTTTAATTTATCCCCGACAATCAGCAAGCTGGTTTCCCGATACCAAGTGAATTAGATAAACTACTACCACATTTGGATAATTTATCATCCCAAGAACTTTTACATGAAATTCTTGGCAAAAGAAAGTAAGTTAACAAGCATGTTTCTTCCCTCTTTCTTGATCAATATTTCAATTTGTATAACTTGTATCTATGCAATGATTTGAGTTGAAATGAAATTCTAGGCTCTGAAGTAAGTTTCAAACCGACTTATCAACTGGGTGTTCTGAAAATTGAGCTGTAAGTCTCAATTGTTGATTGTATGTTGTAACTTCACTTCGGTCTCTGAGGTTTACCACCCACCCCCTGGCTCCAATCAAGATATGGATCTGTAGTAACTCACTGTCCATTCATTGTGGTACAACAAGGGCACCAAGAAATGTGCCAGATAAAATAGTATAGCAACATTATTAAGACAAAGCGAAAGACAGTTCAGTAAGGTACATTCGAAATGAAACATTCATCACTTTTCAGCAGAAGAAGATAGGAGGAAGTTACAACATGACTGTCACTAGTTTTGATTCTCAGTTTTATCTGATAACATCTGAAACCACTGGGTTGGCTGATCTCTTGGACCCCACCCAGGGAGTCGTGATGCACCGACAGATGCTGACTCGATACAACTATCCTTCAACCTACGGCGCCACGTCATACACTGATCATCTCTCTACTTCTATCATCCAGTCAGGGGGGGGGGGTAGCCAACAATAAGTAGCATCGAAGCCGACGAAGGTAGTGTTTTCAGATGACTTCACTAACTGAATGACGATCTTCATCATGCCCAAACACATGTCACCGTACCTCAGAATTACTAACATAGTGTCACCACCGGATACGAGCAATCCTGCGGAGACAGTGGTGATCAAACATACAGAGTTGTCGCATATCTTCAGCTTGGAGAGGCCATGTTTCACAGGCGTAGAGGAGAACTGCTCACACTGAAGCGTTTTATATCTGACCTTCTACAGCCAGACTAACGTCATGGCACCCAAGGTCACCTAGATTATCGTATCCCACTGGCTTTTGATATGTGGTTGGAAGTTTCACCACACACATAATTACCCAGATGCACGGACAACTTTTGGACTACTTCCAATGGTTCACCGCCTAGGTTGAGCGCAGGTACAGGCTTCTTTCAATCTTGTAAGAGAACAATACACTTCAATGGTTTTCACGTGGCAACGGTGGATGGCAAGATACAGAGTCTTCTGAACACTTTGAGTGGAAATTTGAGAATGTTTGAGATGTGTTTCTCATCATCCAACTGTAAATTGTTGTTACAGGACTAAATCTTCAACAACGCTACGGCTAACAATAGAGAGTGAGTGTAGTGGTTGAGTGAGTTGACCACTTCACTTGATTGGGAAGTAGGATCATCCCTGGTGTATTGATGAGTGGGCGACGAAATCTCTGCACGAATACAATGGGCTTGGCTGACGTTCCCAACTTACGCCACCTGTGGTGACGTCACGATAACTGACTGTCTATGAAGAAAAGTTGAGTGTAGTGCACACCAGCCTTCTGTGTTCTAGTCTATGGCTGTGAAACATGGCCATTGAAGTTGGAAGATTTGAGAAGACGGTTTCAGGTGTTTGACCACCACTGCCCTGATAGTGTAGGCCGTATTCCGTGGTGTTACCACATGAGTAACGCAGAAGTCAGTTGACACAGTTGTGAACCATGGTCGACTGAGATGGTTGAGTGGGACATGTGTTATGTATGTGTAGTCGCTGATTGCCTCATTGTACAATGTTGATGGGAGTAGGTTGAGGCTTGAAAAGGATTCGAGGCGTCCAGTGCCAAACATGGTGTCAATGTATGAAGTCCTTGACTGTTGATTTGAGGTGTATTGGAAGTTGTGAACTACTTGACTGGTTGAGAATTTTTGATGAAATGAATTCACTTCCTTATGAATGTTTCGTCTTACCTTCACTTTCAGATTCCTTCTCCTCCCACACACTTTCGTTTTTTTACATTTGCTTTTGTAAAGTATGACAGCTTGAACCGATAAAATTGTATGCTGAATTCTACATTGAATCTTCTATATTGTAGTGAAAAGACAGCGGCGTTATATTTCGTCACAGCTGAGTATCGTGGATCTTAGCTTTCTTCTGCTTCCTTCCAACTCCGGGACCACAACCAGTCAGTCTACACTTGTCTATATGGTTCACGTCAACAGTTAGGAACTTAATCGACACTGTTTCTATGTCTTTCAACCTAATCCAACTCGTACTAGCATGGCACTTCGAAATAGGCACTTGCCTCGGCATGCGTATTACATGTTCAAGGCATTTCAGTCGTCTGACTTCAAAACGCTGATTTCACTAAAAGCTACTTGTAATCGCTCTCTGTTGGTTCGCAACGGAGTACACTTGTCTTTTCATAGATAGTCGAATATCTTACTAGTCAACTTCAAAGCCTTGTTAAAAACAAATAATCAATTATTCACCATTTACATTAGTCATACTTTACATCTATAACCTGGTGACATTTCAAAAAAGTACTAGCAAATTTTTTAGAAGTTTATCTAGATAGCCAAATGTTAGTTAAAAGGTACATAGAAGAGGAGCATTAATATCCAGTATCAAGATTAGGTTTTAAAAACAAACAACTACTTCTTAGAAAAACTAGCCATTTGCCTTCAGTATACTATTCCTCCTCTGAGATATGATCTTGTTCAAACCTGTATCTCATTCCAACTTTTATATAAGATTCATAAAAGACTATCAATTTTCTTATTATCCTCGAAACATTGTTACATAATATAAAAACACGAGACAAAGTATAAATTGAGATATTGTATATTGGCAAGGAACCAACCACCAACTCGAAACTTCAAAACTTTCGGTTATAACAATCGTGAAGAATGATTCCTCTGAATCTATGTCTTTCTCAATTGAATACTTTATATTTCAATTAGGTAATTAATCAGCTTACTATAGGGAGAAATGCAAATAATGAAGGTTTAGACGATGTGAAAGAGTGAATGCATCTACACTAGTGTGACTGATTTCCGGCTATATCACTTGAAGTTTATTCAACTTTTTGATCTGACCAAATTATATGGCATATGACTCATTATAGTGTGAATAGTATGCTTCAGTATCACATCGCCATTTCATCCTCTTCTCTGCAGTAATTTCAACCTGGAACCATGACTGCCCACAACCTTCCATTTCTTCCTCAAACCATCTCTTACATATCACACTCGGACGCCCAACTCATCGTGTTCCATGCGGCTTTCACTCGACAGCCTGGCCTGGTGCGTGATGTCCTCAAACCGTCTTCTCAGTATATTTCCAATCCAATCCATCTCCAATTTCTTTTAATGCATATTTGTTGACTGATAACTCCTTCGTCGGTTGGTTCGTTGCCAGCCAGCCAGCCAGCCAGCCAGCCAGCCAGCCAGCCAGCCAGTGTTCCCCCTTGCTTATTCTATCTCGCAATCTCATCACTATCTTCGGTATCCAGTTATTTTAGACGGCAGCTGTTGACGATGTATGGCTGCAGTTTGTTGGAAATGCTTTTCGTAGGGCGTCAAGTCTCTCAACCATCACATAGAAGCACTGAGTTACTGACTGAGTTGGTGTAGAAAATCAGAATGTTGTTCACGCTTTATACTGAGTGTAGTGGATGTGCAGTGGAGTGCAGCGGAGTGCAGTAGACCTCAACACTGATTATTTCAAATTAGTGAAGGATGCCCTGTCTTGCATTGTGTTCCCGATCCTCGCTTTGACATCGTCACATGTGACTGTTCCGCTGTCTGTAGTTGAAACGATGCTGCTTACGTGGGGAGTGGAAGAGATAAATTCCTTTACATTTCTCCCATTGATGGTGATTGGTGTTTGTTGTTGTTATTGTAGTTGTTGGTTGGGTATCTCCATCACTTCGGTCTTTACGTCCACCTGAAGGAAGTCGCGTCTTCGGTTTCCTGCCTCTTCTACCTACTTGTTAGTGCTTGCTTGTAGATCTTTGAATTGCTGCGACACTAGACATAAATCATCATTGGCTAAATCTTAATCTTCTACTTTTTGTCAACACACAAACCTACTAATTTCTTCACCTGAGGCAAGTTTATAGTATCATAAGTCAGTAATCGGAGTATGTTTGGCATTCATTTCATACTTATCGAATGCAAAGTGGTGATACTCTAGAACTGGTCTGATGCAAATACTTCAAAATTAATGATCTGGAGTGAAGTTGTGGAATTGTGTCGACCCCTTCAACTACTTACTTGGTAAGTTACATCAACTGGAACGGGTTGGTTTCTGACAGAGTCCTAGCTGGAATGCAGGAGACCCGTTTGGCATTTTCCAACTTGCGTCATCTGTGATGCCTACTGCGCTACATTCGATCCTGCCCTTTTTCACGACAGTTAGACAAGGTCATTGACAGTGGAAGACATGAAGCAGTTACAGTGTTTTGAGTATACGTATCCTCATAGCATTTCTCGCGTTTGATGGAATCACCGTGTCAGCTATGTTAATGTCAGTCTGAGGGTACTAAGCAAGACAGGACGGTAAGTCGATTGTTGAGGTAGGTTGTGAACTTTCATTAGCTGACGTGCCATGCTTGGGGAAGTGCGATCGGGTTGAAAGAGGGTTCAGGGTGACCAGACAAAAACTTGGTACTAGTTGATGTAGTCCCTAACTTGTTGGTGTGACCTGTATAGAAATCTGTAGACTGATTGGCTGCAGTCTCTGAGACGATAGGAATCAATGGTTAAGGGCTCTTCGGTGATATGGTTGAAAATTGGTCAGAATGGCATAAATGTGTTCACGTCTCCTGAAGCTTGAATATACGCACTAATCCTTGTCTACAGATTGTTTATTCTCCGCGTTGATATATCACATTTTTTGCTCTTTGCCTGTTCTTCTTGTACGATATTATATAGTGTGATTATGTGGTTGTGAAAATGTCGCTGATCGCATTCCACACCGTAGTACATGTTTAATAATAGACTATGAAAACTGATTCTATAAAAAAATGAGATGATTATCTAGTTCTCTGAAAGCTGCATTCATTCCAAAGAAAAGCTGGTATTCCGCAACTTTGAGAAGCATATATATATATATATATATATATAT